AATAAAATTAATTTTTATTTTAATTACTAATATCAAGTGTTAGTTTCTTATTTATTTATTTTAAAATTAAAATCAGAATTTTTTAATTTAAAATTTCACAATTTTTTTTTTAAAAGTGACAATTATTAACCAAGAGTATATTATAGACAAACCAATAAGTAAATAGTATCAAACTTTCTATCCATTATTAATTGGTTTTAAGGTTGGATAATCTTTTTCGAATATAAATTCAAAAAATGTCATATATAAAATAAGAATACTCCTAATTCTGCACTAAATACGTTATCAATGGGTTATATTCATTATTTCTTAGGACGAGCGGATGTCCAACTCGTATATTTGATTTATTATTTTTTCCTCAAATTTAATTGTGCCTCTCATGTTACTCACCAGACGGCAATAAAAGACTACAATGATGAAGCTAGTCGTTGATGCTAAGGCGGATAAAGTGCTTGGGGCATCCAAATGTGAGCCGGATGCTACCTCAAAAATCATTTTTAGCCAATCAGAGCATCACTTTATTTATGGATGATTAGTACACTAATTTTTTTCCCTCTAGAGATTTTTCCTTCAATAAGAAAAAAAAAAATTCAGAAATTCCCCATCAATTCAGCATTGGCCCATTGGACTTTCTCTTTCTTTTCCGGTCCAATTTCGACTCCCCCCCTGGCCTCCATTAAAATAATAGCTTCTCTTTATAGGCTTAGCCCAATAAAATAAAATTTTTGCGCCATAACAGAACTTCCCCTACCCTATCTTAACTAGAGCTGAGAAATAATTCGAATACGAGTTATATTTGCTATTTGATTTAAAAATTTTTAAGTATATTTTTTTTAAATTTAATGATTAATCAAATACTAAAAGATTTATACTTGGTATTTAAGCCAATATATATTGGATAATTTGCAAGTATATACTAGTGTACTTAGCTTAGGAAAAGAAGAGATTTTGTAAGAATCATTATTGTTATATGTTTGGTTTAATAGTGAATTAAAGAGGTTAACTAAAGGCAGTCAAACCTTGTTATTGTTTAATGCAGCTTTGTCATATAATACGGGCCAATTTTCCTTCTCGGCCAATAAATGAGCAGCATCTTTAAAATGCTTCAAAGCATGAATTTCATAAAAAAATCCATGAGAACATCATCTGTTGAAACCCAAAACCATATGTATTAGACTATCAGTTGAATAGCAACAATGGCTGCACTGATAAGATGAACTTGAGGAAAAGAAATTGACTCAGAACCACAAGATTTATTCAAAATTATGATCACCTCCCAGGGTTCCATATTAAAAATGATGGCATGCACGTACTGAAATTTTGGTTTCATACTCTTGCTTGCAGAAGAACAATATTCTATTTTTGAACAATGGAGGGTGAAAGGAAATCTAAATAAATTTGCCTCAAGGCTAGTTGGCTTTCTCAGATCTATGTCAACACAGACACTGATGCTTGCATGTAAATGCTGCAGTTGCAAACTTGCAATCAATAAAACACAATGGTCTTACCTCCCCTGTAAAAAGTACAGGGCGTCCTTCACCTGCAGCCTTGATTGCATCAAACTTGTTCTCATATTTAGCCCTCAGTCGTTGAGCAGACTACCGAGATGAAGCACCCTTTATAGAATTAAGAAACCACAAATAACTCAAAAATCAAATCATACACACGTGAGTGGAATATTGCAACTGAGATAAGAGTCCTAATGGTATTGTTTGGATTTGGCCATGGTAAAAGCTGTTCAACCACATATTGATTTTTTTTCCTTCCTTTTTAAAGGTAACATATGCAGCAAAATGTTGCTCATCAAGCAAATGGAATAGAATAAACAGCATAATCTACTTGACGGTAAATTGACTCATGGATAAGAGCATAGAGTGGGTTTGAATCAAAACCCAATCAATTGTCAAACTGTTCAAACAAAATGAATCAAGATTAATTCCGAGAATGTGACTTGAACTTCCAAAATATAAATAAGAAACTAAAAAGTACCTTACAGCATTCAAGAAGTAGAAACTATTCTTCTTAGGTGCTCCTGGGACTATTACATGATCCCAGACCCTCTCAAACCTACAGTTGGTTTTAAAAGATTACAAAAAGATGTGGATGCAGTGACATAACACTGAAATCTGAGCTTTTAGAAGAAAAAGAAAAAGGTGCATAGTTATGATGCTTACAGATAATGAAGGCGTTCAAAACCTGCACTAGATCCTAAACCAGAAAGACCAAGAAGTTATAGCCCCCTTGGGGTCAAGATGTCCCCAGATGGAAGAGGAACCTGCACAAAAAGAAGCTTACATTAAAAAGATTTAGCTAAAATATCAGCTTTGAGTAAAGAACCAGGATCAATTGCAGCCAAGCCTCACCCCACCCCCTTCAGATTCTGCCAAATAGTTTGCAACTTCATGAACAACTTCAATATCCTGAGGATACTTCTTGTAGTACTTTTCATTCTGACGAGCAACCTGCTCAAAGCAAGCTCCATAAACAGTATCTGCAGTTCATCCATCCCCAAATGGAGGTATTCCACCAGTCAGAAGCACTTGTTTCAATCCTTGTGGTGCAAAACTCAAATAGGTGATGGCACAAAAACCTCCATAGCTCTGCCAGAAAGAGAGAGAAAAGATTAAAATCCCAAAAAGTCATAAACTCATGGCATGCATACTAATTAATTGATCATCACTAGACGCTACTCATAGTCATGTGAAATGGTGAAATGCACAAACAGAAATGTCAAAATTGAACGGTAATTTTAATACCCGGCCCAAAACCGTCCAAGGTCCAGAACCAGGAACAAGATGAACACAGATAAACTCAGCATCACTGACTATACTGTCAGCACAAAAATGTTTCAAGTAATCAGCCAAATCCCAGGCAGACTTAAATTGCAGCATAGATGATGTTGTCAGTGGAGTTGATAATCCTGTTCCTCTCTGAAAGAAAAAACAAATCATCAACCCTCAACAACAACAAGCACAAGTACTCCATTTCATCAAATAAGCTTCAAGGAAACCATGCCTGATCCATTAATATAACACGAAACTCCTCACAAGCTTTAAGTATCCATCCACTGGCTTCACTTGGTCTCGGGGATTCAAAACCCGATCCACCTTGCAGAAACAGGAGGTATGGCATTGGTTGATCTTCTTTACCAACTGTAAAACAATTCTACATTAATCAGCACATAGACTACCACTCTACTAATTTCATACGCTGAAAATCCTCAATGCAGATTCCTCTTTAGTAGACTAATATGGTCTTTTTTTTTTTTTTTGGAAGAAATACTAACTGCATTAACGGAATAGACAAGCCAGCATCCAATTACACTTAAGAATCCAATTATTTCCAAGGACTAGAAAAATGAAAAACCTAACATGTCCTGGAAAAAGGAAAAATAAAGCTAGGTTGACTTTAGCACTTCTACTTCCACATTCTGGGACCAATTCGAAAAAAGAAAACATAATCCGCGATATTTCAACATTAAACAGTGATTTAACAAAAATAATTCAACTTCAAGTTGATCGCAGGAGGTGGCTCCGTACCAGCAACGACTTCCCGCGCGAAAATGGATATCTTTAAGGAAGTAGCAGGATCTCTGTAATCCAGAGGAGCAATGAAACGGTGATCTCGGAGACAGAGATCTGGTACTGAGTACCACTTCCCGGCGGCGTGTTCCGGCAATGACTCGCCCGATGAATCGACTTTGGGTGCTGCCATAGCAATTGTACGGCACGAGTTCCAGCGATAGTGGGGGTTGAGAAGTTGGATGGCCGGAGTTAGTCGGTGAAACACAATGCGTGGAGACAACGAAGAAAGAATGCCGTGCAATACAAGAGGTTTTATCCAGAGGGGTGGCGCGTGCTTTACCAACATTTTTGGGACAGTGAAGACATAGAAACGCGCCTTTTGTCTCTGAGGAGTTTCTTCCTTTTTTTTTTTTTTTTCTTTCTTTTCTGAGATAGGATATATCAGCTGTTCCGAAAATAACAAAAATAAAATAAAATAAAATTAAGTGCTTAATGGGTTATTGTGCTTGGGTGGAAGGGTATGGAGGGAAAAGAAAAATATTTTCTTATTTAATTATAAAAAAGTTAAACAAGAAGACGAGGAAGAAAGTCTTTTGCTTTTTGTTTTATCACGTTATAATTGTTTTTAAGCATATCTTGTAATTTTATTATGTTAAAATTGTTTTTCCTTGAACTTTGCTCCTTCGGCATTTAGTGTGTGACATGTGGTCATTTTAATTTTCGTGTGAACATTAATAAATTACTCTTTTTATTTGAAAATAATAATAATTTTTTAAAATTAAAAATTTAAGGATAATATTTATATTTATTTAA